CTAAGTGCTTCTGTTTCAAATACAATGTTAAGCAGAATTTGTTGAGATATGATTCATTTATGCTTGTCACTGAAATCATCTTTTTAAATTCTTTCCTCCATGTTTAACTAGCTATCTGCTCTTAAGACATAAACATTTTAAATTACATGATTAATACATGGATTTATGTTTGTAAAAATCTCAGAGTATGCAGAAATAATTCAGGAAATAGTGAATGCCGAAACCGGTTTGGCTCAGTGGATAGAGCGTCAGCGTGCGGGCTGAAAGGTCCCAGGTTCGATTCCGGACAAAGGCATGTACCTCGGTTGTAGGCACATCCCCAGTGGGGGGTGTGCAGGAGGCAGCTGATTGATGTATCTCTCTCATCGATGTTTCTAACTCTCTATCTCTCTCCCTTCCTCTCTGTGAAAAATCAATAAAATATATTTTAAAAAAAAAAGAAGAGGAAGAAGAAGAAAAAGGTAAAGATACTAGTTATGAACACGAAGTATGCATCTATCAACAAGTGAATCTAAGAATCAAGTGAATAAATAATCTGATGAACAGAATGAACTGGTGATTATAATAGAATCAGGGACATAGAAAGGGAATGGACTGCCTATTCTTGGCGGGGATGCGGGAAGAGACTGGACAAAAATCGTGCACGTATGGATGAGGACAATGGGTAGGGAGCGAAGGCGGAGGGTGGGGTGGGAACTGGGAGGAGGGGAGTTATGGGGGGAAAAAAGAGGAACAAATGTAATAATCTGAACAATAAAGATTTAATAAAAATTAAAAAGAAGAATTTAGCACACCACAGGCACTACTTATCACCTCTCTCTCCCCAGGGCATTTATTAGCTAGATTTCTTTCACCTGATGTGGGGACAACCAGTGTTTTCAGCTTTACCTCCTATGACTTCCTTTCATGTGCCCATGCAGCAATCAAGTTGAGTTACATGGCATTTCCTTAAGAACTTAACTATGAAGCATTTGAAACAATTAGAGAAACTTATTCATTCATTTCTGTGTTTACCCAACTCTACTAGTGCTGTGTGCCTATAATGTGCCAGATCCAGGCCGGGAAGATGCTGTGGACAAATTCGACCAGAGGACTTTTCAGAGGCCCAATTTCCTGGACTGTGCTTATCTAAGGATATCATTTTCCCTAAACCCAGACAACCCAACTCATTTATTGAAGCTTTTACCCTGTAGAATGCCCCCATCCACAGCCTAAGCATGAATCTAAAGGCCCTATGTCTGAGATAAACATAGGGAATCTACTTTTTCTATCCAATCAGGTAAAACAATTACCGAATGACTACTTACGGTTTTGGACAGGGATTCTTTTATTTTTAAATTATTAAGTATTACCTCAGAAGTCAATAATATATTAGAGGCTTCACATGTATTAACCGCTGACATTTATAAAATATTTAGTCATATTTTGCACCTGGCTGAGTGCTTTTCATCTGTTTTCTAATTTATTCCCCCCACTATGATCCTATGAGCGGGTGATTTCACCACATTTTACAATGAATTAACAGAGGCTTGGAGAGGAGAGCTATAGAACCAGGACTTCAGACCCGGATTTGTCTGATTGGGACAACGATTCTTTCTGTTGCAATGAAGTTTAAAGGAAAAGCATTCAAGAAAGAAATTCAGATCACATGAGAAATTTATTGGTAATGTCAAGGACGAAGGAGAGGTATAACTTTCAGACTAATGCTTTCTCTGAGAAAAACTAGAACAGCCAGATTAAAAACAACCTATTTGAAGAGATTGGGGAATCACTGAAGCATTTTGGGGCTGAGTCTTGGAGAAGACTAGATACTTTCCAAGCCTGGCAGGGCAGCAGTGAGTCTCAAAATTACTTCAGACTAATCAGGACAGAGGCTCTCATCACTGTCCCAGACTGCTTCCCGACATGGCCAGGGTTTCCCCAGGAAGGCCTTCTCCAGGTTCATTCCCCTCAGGAGTGTCCTGCAGCGCCCTCTGGAGAACGAGCCTCAGGGTGTGTCTCCGCTTCCACCATCGCTGCCTGAAGGAGCCAACAAAGAAGTAAATGATGGGGTTGGCACCGCTGTTGACACAGGACAGAGGTACTGAAATCATGGAAACATGAAAGAGGGCACTAGATTTATTTGGTAACTTGAAAAAGAGGAACCGGAGATGCCGAAGGGCAGGCCACAGAGGAGGAAGACCAGCACAGTGAGCACGAGGGTCACGTAGAGCCTGGTGGGTGGCACCCGGTGGGAGCCACACAGCAGTCTGGTCATCAGGGCCAGGCTGGACCCAGAAAGAAGCACAAATAACAAAATCAGCCAGGACACAGTGATGAAATCAAATACATGATACACATAAGGGTTTAAAAAATTCAACTGGAGGATGGAGGACCTTTTACCCAGCATGCTCAGCAGCAGGGATAGGGCCCAGAGTAGGGCACACATGACAGCAGACAGGTGTCTGGGGCGGCGGCAGCGGTACCAGATGGGCCACAAGACAGACAAGCAGCGCTCCATGCTGATGGCGCTGAGAAAGCTCAGGCCTGAGATGTAGGCAAAGATTGACACCGAGAAGACAAATCTGATCATTACTCTATGGAAAAAACTGAAGTTGAAAAGTAAAACTAGCAGATGTATAAACCGGCAGCAGAGGAAGAGGAAGTCGGCCCCCGCCAGGTGGAGGATGTAGACAGAGAAGGCGTTCCTGCGCATGCGGAAGCCCAGGAGCCAGAGCACCACTGCGTTCCCTGCCAGCCCCACCAGGATCGCCATGACTGTCAGTAATGAAAGGATTATGTGTTCTGTATAATGTAGATGAAAGGCCTGATCAGTTCCATTGGTTGATGTGAGGTTGGTCTCCCCGGCTGTGACAGTCATATCCGTGCTCAGAAACGCTGCAGTTGTGGGCCTGGAAATAAAACAAGACTTGAGCACCTGCTCTATGACCACTGACCCTCTGGCCACCCTGTCTGTGGCGAATGGAGGCTTCCAGAGATTAAGATTCTTTCTGAACCACACGGTCTTGGAGTCCTGGATCCTGAATTTAAACCCAGTTCTCTCTGAATCTTAGAGCCTGGGCTGTTTCTACTGCAACACAGACCCTCTATGTCCAACCTCTCCACTCACCATAGAGCCCATGACGTGCCCTGGAGGCAGGAGGAGAAGAGTCTGCCCAGGTCCTGTGGATGGCAGCAGGGTCCTGAGTTCCCCAGTGCTTGTGCTCTGGGACAGTGGCTTTGTTTGACAGCAGGCTGTCAGAAGCCCCAGGGCAATCTCAGTGACTGAGAGTGGTCTACTCACCAGGGAGAAAGGAGGTTATGATTTATAACTCTTGAAGGGAATGAGACCCCTTGTTAGGACAGAGTAAGGACCCCCAACGCTTTTGCATTAGAAATGTCCCAGTGGGTCATCTCTATGAGGATAGACAGTAATTACTCTTCCCATTGTTGTGTCCCCAGGGCCTAAATCTGTGTAGGAATACCATGGGCCTGTCAATAAAATTTTAATCCACGAATGAATGCATGAATGAATGAACGAATGAAGAAGAAAATTTGGATTTAATCCTATATAATAAAAGCCTAGTATGCTATGTGTCCAACTGTTCCTTCGACTGCTCGACCAGTTGCTATGTCAGGCACTGACAACCAGGAGGCAGATACTCTGACCGGTAGGTTAGCTTGCTGCTGGGGTCCAGCCGATCAGGACTGGACTAGACAGGCTGGAAATGCTCTGGAGCCCTCCTGCAGCCCCTCCCCACCCCGATCATGAACTGGGTGGTCCCGCAGCCTGGCCTGGGCCCTCTTGCAATCTGGATCCTTCAGGGAATGTCGGATTGCCAGTATTGACCCGATCCCCACAGGCCAGGCCAAGGGACCCCACTGGTGCATGAATCTGTGCAATGGCCATCTAGTATAATATAATATTTTTTTAATGAAGAATTTTAAATATTAAGACATAAGTTAACACTTTTAACTCCACCATCAAAAAACACATATATAACAAAAATAAAATTCCATTTGTAAGTTTTCATTCTGTGCAAAGCTCTTGTGTGTTTGAAATAATTTTTTTATGCCTGCAGACATCTCCTATCCAGGTAGGAGAGGATTCAGGACTGAATTAAATTTCTCTGCATTTTAGACGAGAAAGAAGCCATTTTGAGAGGAGAGAGACAGAGGCGGCAAAGGGTTTGAATAGAGGTAGTTGAGACAGAAATACAGAAGGGGCATTATTAACTAGTTCCTATGATATGTGTGATAGGAAAGCCACTCATTGTCCCTACATGTAATTTGGAGTAGAGATTTCTTTGCAGATCAAAGCATTTGTATAAGATAATTCTGGTGGTGGTGGAATTAAGAAGTGCTTAGTTCTTTGGATGAAAAGAGACCAGCTCTTGCAGAATTTAGGTGAGAAACATAAATCTACCCACACGTAGGTGAAGAGTAGTAGCTGGTGAGTGCTTACATGGTATTACCTCTTTTAATTCTCCAAATAGCCCTATGAGGCCAGTACTATGCTTTCTCCCATCTGGCACATAGGAAAAGACAAGCACAAGGAGGCTGAATGACATGCTCCAGTTCTCACGTGCACAAGTGGAAGAGCCTGGAATTGAACCCACAGGCCTGTGTCAGAGTCTTCAGCTTTCCCCTGCCTTGCAGCCCCACTACCAGGGTGATGTGTCCAGTACACATGGGGGGTGAGGGCAGAAAGCAAGTAAACTCAGGGACAAATCTAAAATGGGAACTCATCTGTATGTTTTATTGGATTAGAATAAGCAAATTTGGTAAATAACAAGGAAGTGAAGCTTATCCAGTGTGGAAGAAGTGGGTGGAATCCACCTGAGAACAGACCTGAGATTCCAGGAACTCCTTCTTCCCTCTGGACAGGCCCAATCAGTCAATTCTTGCCTGGTTCAGCCAGCACAGGCTCCCCCAGGAGAATCGAACCCGCTACTCTTGAGTCTGTGGGCTGCCGCTCTAACCACTGAGTCAAACCTGCTAGCTCTTGTGTCCCTTTTTAAACTCAAACCTCAATAGTGACGACAAGATCTGTCTGGATTTTGTCTTTTTTTCATAGTTGTTGTTCACTATTGTATCCTTGGCACTGAGCACATGTTCCTTAAAGACCATCTGCTATAATATCATCCTTTAACTCAGGAAGAAGCTGAGGCTGAAAGAGCCAAAGGATTTCCCTGAGATCACAGGTGAACAGCAGGTCCAATGCCAGCCCTGGCCTCCTGGAGCCCAGCCTGAGGTTTCCCACTGTTCTCTGCCTCATTGTGGGATCAGCACCTGAGTGAAATCTCCATGTGAGCTCAGAACATGAGAGAGCTTCAGGAGTGAGGAAAATGCTACTTGGTCTAAATACCCATTTCCTTCTCTCTCACATAATAGTTCTGAGAGTTTTAGATGAGAAAATGGATTCTAATCCCAGTTTCCATTCCCATTTGATGGCACCATGTGACCAGGTGGTAGCCAATGGGAGGTGAGCACAAGTGATGTAACCAATTTTAGGCTGTGCTTTTCCTTCTCCTCTTCTCCTCTGGATGGAATGCTGATGAGTCTGGGAGCCCTGCATGAGAATAAAGTCATCTCTCTAGGGATGTGGAGCAGTGATTTGAAAGAGCACAGGTGTCTGATGCCTTGAAGTCACCAGTCAAGTTCTAGTAAGCTCTCTTGCATTTCTTTCTAGGGCTACCAAAATCATAAATTGAAATTCTTTAAAATATTTGTATACAACCACCTTGAAAAATAATGTGCAGTCCATCCTCAAGGCATTTATGATGAGACATATTATTTTTAAGATGTAACACCCAGTAGGGGGGTGCCAACAGATCAAATAAATGAAATGTAATAACAAGTTGATGTAATCACAGTGAGAGAGAAAAAGTCCCAGGAAAAGCAACTAAGAAGAGGCTATAAGAAAAATGGATTCTCTTCATTTGACGTCAAATTTCATTTCCAGCTTCTCTACCCTCCGCTGCATCCTGGGAGGACACATCTCTTTGCCTCACCACTGCCCCCTTTCCTTCTGGCTCCTGGTTGTTCTCAGGAAAGGGTGACACTGACAGCTGATTGGAGGGCAGATGACAGTGATTGAGGTTTTAACTTCCTGCCTCTCTGCTGTCCAGCTGTGAGTTTGCCATGGTGGTGTTACTCTACCTAAGGAGATAGCTCCTGTCTGTTGGCCTTTTTTTTCGGTCATAGTGACAACCAGCGCTACAGACACAGCCTTCTTATGTTCTGGCAACTTATCGTTCTCTTTACACTTAAGGAAGCGCAAGGGCATATCTCCCTATTATGATTTACAGTGGGGCCTTGACTTACAAGTGTCCCGACTAACGAGTTTTTCAAGATACGAGCCGTCTCTCGGCCGATTTTTTGCTTTGAGTTGCAAACTAAAATTCGGGTTACGAGCCAGCTTCAGATACCCCACTGCTAGTTGGCACAGCAAACGTCACAGTGAACGCCACAACATCAGCCCAGCATTACGTGTCTCACTCGTTCACTTTAAGATTTGACATACGAGTAATTTGAGTTATGAGCTCCGTCACGGAACGAATTAAACTCGTAAGTCAAGGCCCCACTGTATCTTTAGGGGCCTCTGTATCCTTTATTGGTTTCCCTTAGTCCTGCTCACCCTTTGTACACAGTCTTTTTATTAAAATCTCTAAAATTGCCCTATTTTTTTGTGCCTTGTGTTTTTGGCTGGGATAGGAATGATACATGCGTAAAACAAACAAATTAACAAACAACCTCATAGAACAGCAAGGTAATGTGTAAAATCTGAGGTTATTAACAATAATTCAGTTTGAAAACAATGTCTGTGAAGCAGAAAGAACCTGGGTCCCTCACAGCCTAAGCTACCAGCACCCAAAGCTTCCCTGAGGGAGCTTCATGTCTCTGGACTCTCCTTCATGGGTGCCCATGGCTCCTTGCATGCTCCACCCCAAGATGCAATCATGAGCATGTGGACTAAGAGGGAGAAAACAAAACTGCCTTTGAGAGAAGGTAGTTCTGAGCCGACTCTTACCTGAGCGCCATCTTGTAGTTGAAAGTGGTGAGTAGAAAAAGAGGAGCTTTCCAGGGAGTGCTGAGCACCAGAGAATGCTCTCCTACCCCTGGATAGGAGGTGTCTGCAGGAGCAGGGGTGGAACCTGATGACCAAGAGAGGCTTATCAAGATGCTGGGCAGCCCCTGTGACTTCCTGCCCAAGGGACACTGGCCAATGAGATTCTGGAGATGTGAGACAAGGGCCTCACGAGATGCTTCTCTCTTGTCCTGAGTCCAATGACTTATCTCTTCCTCTCTCCATTTTACCTCATCTGGCCCCCCTCCCTGTGAAGAATGTTTAAATTGGATCCTGTCACTACCTATAGTGAGCCTGTGCACTTTAACAGCTGTTAGCTAGCTCAATTTTGAAAATGAAATGTATTTTAATGAACACTGCCTTTAAAATTATTCAAAGTGTGTGTATACATTTTTTGGGACACCTTCTATTACCCAAAGGGGAAAGATCAGTAAGGCTTTAAGGGGTTAAAAAAATCCTTTTGGCCGAAACCGGTTTGGCTCAGTGGATAGAGCGTCGGCCTGCGGACTGAAAGGTCCCAGGTTCGATTCCGGTCAAGGGCATGTACCTGGGTTGCACGCACTTCCCCAGTGGGGGATGTGCAGGAGGCAGCTGATTGATGTTTCTCTCTCATTGATGTTTCTAACTATCTCTCTCCCTTCCTCTCTGTAAAAAATCAATAAAATATATATTTAAAAAAAAATTTAAAAAATCCTTTTGGACTTGGAATTTCAGCATCCCACATCTCTTTGAGAAGAATATTAAATCTCTGGACTTTCTCCCTCAGAGAAAGCACACATACACATACACAGAATTTTGCATTTCATTTCAAGAAGCTTGTGAATCTCCTGAAGCCACCTACAAAATCCTGGCCTAGGTAAGACAAGGGAGAATATTTCAGGGTCTCAGGGAATCACCAGGTTGGGGTAAATGGTGTTCACCAGGATAATACAGATTCAGCAAAAGTCTCAGGGTACACAGAGTCCAGTCACCACCTGCCCAGGGCCTGTAGACCATTTTGATTGGAGAGTGGGTCTCAGGGAGTCATCAGGGTGGAGCTAGTGGAGTTCACCAGGATAATGCAGGCTCAGATTTGGGCATGTGGGGAGAGGGCTCAACACAGGGACAGTGGTGGCCATCCCTCCAGCCCTCTCCCTGAAGCCACACAACCCAGTTTCTCTCTGTATGTCTCTGGCACACCTTCCCACCCCACCCAACCCCACCCCCCAGCTTGACAGAATTCCTTGAGAATTTTTTGTTGTTGTCTTGTTTTAATATGTTTTTATTGGCTTTCAGACAGAGAAAGGCAGAGGGAGAAAGAGATAGAAACATCCTATCTAATAAAGAGGGAATATGCTAATTGATCCTAATGCTGTTGCAAAGATGGCGGCGCCCACAGTCAATAAGGAGGGAATATGCTAATTGACTGCCCCGCCCTCAAAAGGCAGCGCCCACAGCCACAAGATGGCAGTGCCCAGTCCCCTCAGCTCTGCCAGGGTGGCAGGTGCACAGCAAGGCCAGGCCCGCCCCCAGGTGGGCCCGGCCGCTTTGCGTGCCTGTCTCTGGAGACCCCCAATCCCCTCAGCCCCCCAGCTACCCAGGGCTGGCACGAAGTGCAGGCAAGGCTCGAATGGTGGCTGCCCAGCTGACTCCCAAGGCATAGGCAAGCCTCGGATGTTGGCTGCCCAGCGGCCCAGGGCCACCCAAGGCTCAGGTAACCAGGGCTGGCCAAGTCTTGCGCTGCCGGCAGTGGCAGCAGCAGAGATGTGATGGGGTTCTTAACTTCCCCTGATCACCGGGTTGTCTCCCACCCCTGAGAGCTCCTGGGCTGTGAGAGGAGGCAGGCCGGGGTGAGGAATCCCCATTCCAGTGCATGAATTTTCATGCACTGGGCCTCTAGTCCTATATAATAAAAGCCTAATATGCTAAGTTTCCGGTCGTCCAGTCATCCATTCAACCAATCAAAGCATAATATGCTAATGATATGTTAAGGCGGCTCAACTGCTTGCTATGACGTGCACTGACCACCAAGGGGAAGACACTCTGACTGGTAGGTTAGGTTGTTGCTGGGGTCGGGCTGATCAGGACTGAGCGAGATGGGCCAGACATGCCCTGGAGCCCTCCTGAGGTCCCTCCCCAGCCCTGATTGTGCACTGGTGGAGTCCCTTGTCCTGGCCTGCACCCTCTCACAGTCCAGGACCCCTCTGGGGATGTCAGAGAGCTGGTTTTGGCCCGATCTCACTCAAAGCAGGAGCTGCCCCCTGGTGGTCAGTGCACTCCCACATGGGGAGTGCCGCTCAGCCAGAAGCAATTATTAGTTTCTTGTGTATCTTTCCAGAGGTACTCTTTATATAAATAATAGGAGAATGATTGAGTGACTTTGCTATAAAATGCATACTTGATATATGCAAAACTCCATGTTTATCTGTTTATAAAAGAAACACAAGAAGGAGAATATGTTCACATTCCTATGTATTACCTATATAAAGAGTACCTCTGGAAAGATACACAAGAAACTAATAATAGCAGTTACCTATCAGAGAATGTGGGAATTGAGCAGATGAGGGACAGAAAGGAGACTTTTCTCTGTACACTTAAAAAAAATTTAAACCATGTGAATGTATTTCATAGTCAATAAAGGAAATAAATAAATACATAACCAAAACAAAATATAGCCCATGCCCAAGCCATAAATAGATGTGCACTCCTAATTAAATGGAAAGCATGGCAAATACTGGCTTGCTTTTGTTAGAATTTTAGAGTTACAAATTTAAGAGATGTGCATATGCACACGTGTGCACAGCACATATAGGTAGGTATTGAGAAAAACAAAAGCAGCTCCTGACATCCAGTTGCTGACCTGGCACTACCAGCTGCTGGGCCTTGGAGTTGCTATGAGCTGGCCTGGCACTCACAGCTCAGTGTTGATGTTCTATTTCATATGAAGTATTTCACAGCACATCAACATCAAGCAAGGCCACTCTGTGACCATAATGGATCTAGACAAAAACAAGACCACTCCATAATCAGGTCTGAATACAGACAAAACCTGAACATTTTTCAAGCCATAAAATTCCACACATCTTGCTGTCCTGGCTAATGTGACTGATGCTGCTTTTCCAATTATAGCTTTAGCCTCACTCTAGTCTTTCCTTCCTACAGATAGGATTTATTGATAAAATTGTCCCCACTTTCTAACAGCACCCAATCCAGAGTGCACCCCCTCTTCTTTGTACCTTCCTCAAAATCACCCAACCAAAGCTCAAGTCCTAAATGAGTCCTTTCTAACACCTTCTTCCTGAGATGCCCCGTGGTTCCCCATGGTATATGTTCTCTCCCGCTGCAATGAGTTATAAACCAAACTTGTTCAAATACAGGAGTGTTCCTAGGTCTTTGGCTGAAGGTCATTGAGAGTGTATATGACATAAAAGTTAGATAATTTTTGGTTTAGCTTGGCATTTCAACACTAAATTCTGCTATAGGGAAACCTGGATTCAAATCTCTCCTAGCCCAGTCAGCCCACGACCACCAGGGACAAGACAAAAGGCTCTGACCTCTTACTATGAGGGAGACTGCACACTATAGAAGCTATGGGGCATCTCCCCAAACAGAGGAAACTATAGACTCATTAAAGGATTTGAGCAAAAGGCACACTTTTAGGTGTAATTGAGGGAAGCAGTGTTTTTGATGAGCTCACAGTGAAGCAGAGCTATCTGTCATAGGTTTCCATCAAATTTGGACTGCTAATGGACCAAGGGGCCTGCTTCCTGGAATATTACAAAAGTTAATCTACGGAATGTTATAGACAGAAATTATCTGAAACTCCTCACCTACAGCGGAAATCAAGGCAGACTCTCTGTATCAAAGTGACTTAAAACCTCTTGGCAAAAGTAAGGTATTTCCTTTTTACTGATATAATCTCAAACAACAAAGTTTCTGACACTCATGGCATATCACAAGTCAGGTGGATCAGCACAGATATGGGGGTTCAGTGGGGGTGGATGTTTAAATGACAGCTCAAAAGTGTCTTCAAGATTTCTCCCTCCTTTCTCCCCCACCAATAAGGAGGCTCCAGTAGAGGCCCCTGAGTAAAGTCCTAAATAAAGAGACCTCCAAGTAAGGCTCCTGGTCTAGAAATGCAGATATGCTTAAGACCATAGCCTGCTTACAAGGGGCCTGAGTCCTTGACTAAAGCTCCCTTCAGAGACTACAGTGTGCATTAAGTCTAGTGGGAACAGCTTTGCCTGGTGAGGCCTGCCAAGTAAAGCCTTTGTGAACTGCTCACAGTTCGGCCTGAAAAATCACAGGTAGACTTTGGGCCAGGAGCTCACACACACACACACACACACACACACAAATACATACATATATTCACAAATACATACACACACACAATCAACAACCCCAATAGAAAAATGGACAAAGGTTGTGATCAAATGGTCCACACACATACACACAAAAAGAAAAGTTGAATGATTCTTAAATTCTTTTTTTGATTCTTAAATTCTTAAACACATGAAATGATGTTCAGTCTCACTCATAATAAGAGAAATGCAAATTAAACCTGCACTCAGATAACACTTTTTCACTTAACACGCTGTGATGGTGAAGAAATGGAGAAACAGATGCTCTCTTATATGAGGGGGTATACATCAATACTGCCTCTACAGAGAGCAATTTGACAACTTCTATCAAGAGACAGATATCTTTGACCAGCAAATATATTCTAGGAATTTATCCTGTAGGTAGACTCACACAGCTGGGGAATAACATATACACAAGAGTTTTTATTCATTGCCATTTATTTTTTATAATCACAAAAGACTGGAAACCACCTGACAATAAGGGCCTGGTTAAACAAAATATAGTACATCCATACCCAGAAATACTATGCAGCCATTCAGAAGATATCTCATTAAGTTTCAAAAGCAAATGCAAAACAGTGTGTGTAGTATACAGTTTGTATGATAGTACA